AAAGGGTTCTCTTACATATATATGTATGTATGTATGTATGTATGTATGTATGTATGTATATGTACGCACATACATACATACATACATACATACATACATACACATCTACATCTACATATGGCACATATACATACACACTGGCATACTCTTGTTCGCATTCGTAGCCATATCGATATTCATGTCCACACACGTATATATGCATGTATATATATATGTTATACATACATACATGCATGCATGCATACATACATACATACATACATACACGGCTGTATTTATGTATATGTATACATACATATACATCTACTTATGTTGACAGAGAACACAAGTCTGTGTGCATGTATGTACGTAGGTATATGTATGTCAATATGTATATGAACATGTAAATGAGTGTGTATATGGATATGTATATGTATATGTATGTACATAACTTTGCATGTCTGTTGTCAGGCGTGTATGCGTCTATGTCTATGTCTATTTACATATAGGGTTTAAGGTTTACGCTTCTTTTGCTTTCGGTCCAAAGTTCTTTGCAGCATAAATTCTGACCCTTGTGACTGCGCCGAGGGGGGTCCAGCAAGGAATCTAACATCTCATCCGTGACTACCGGCTACCGCTGTTGCAGGCTTTCAAGCTGCGAAAATGCGTAGGTGCGTAAGTTCTAGGGGTGCGCATGTCTTCAGTGCTTCGGGGTGGGGCGGAGGGACTGTTGAAGGGCGAGGTCTTGGCACGCAAGCCCAGAGATCCTGAATATTCGATCCTAAACTCCACCCCTGCTACCTTAGACCGAAAGCCTGCCACCCCCACCACTCTTCAGGCTACACATCCAGGAGTGGACACAGCGCCGAAATGATGAAACCTTGTAATCTCATGTTATGTGTTTTGTGTTTTTAGAAGGGTTTGAACTTGGTTGATTATGCTGTTGTTTTTTGGAGGTTGGTCATAGTGTTGTACGATTTCGGGGGCCTGGCTTTCAGGACTTCTCGGGAGTTTGGGAGTTCTGCAAGTTGGCATCTCCCACTCTCGGGCTGCTGACACTATGCATAAGTGCCCCTTGCTTGCTGAAACCGCCACATCCCGTGTTTTTGGGGGTTCAAGTTTTAGGTTGTTTGGTCTCGGCCTTGGGGTAAGAGTGCCTGGCTGTATTCTCAGTAGGTTTGGGGTTCTAGAGCTTTTACTCTCAGGCTCTAGAGAGTCATACCCAAGTTGTGCAAGTCCCAAGGACAACTTAATACCGGGATCAGGCCTTGCATTCAGTTCTGCAGCCTAGGGTTTGCGTAAGGGTTGGGGTTTAGGGTTTAGGGTTGCAGCACCCAGGAACCGTGTTGGACCTGGATTTGCGCAAGGAGGAGGCCTTCTTGCCATGTTTGGTTCCCCCCTTGGCGTACTGGGGCGCTGAACCGTGGACGAACCCCCCCTCCCCCCCGAGCCTTTCTAAATCACAGTCCCTTATCCGAAACACTCCAAGCCCAAAGTAGGTGCCACGTTTCGACTTACGCACTCCAAACTAGGTTTTCTGCGGATCTGAGTCTTCGGCATGTTGTAGGGACATGGACTCTTGAGGATGCAAGCAGTGTTTCAAGTCCAAAGGTGGGAAAGTCGCGGTGTGTGGCTCTGGAAAGAGTAAAGTATCCGAGTAGGAGCGTACGTGCTGTGGGGATTCGGAGTCCTGGCTAAGCTTTCGGCAATGCCTGTGCATCCGGGAAGAGGTTTCGGTGCCTCCAAGTTCTGATGTTTTCATCATCATGCAGCTTCAAATAATTACGTGCATCGACGTCTCTGCTGCGAGTTCAACTTCAGCTTACGTGTAGCCCGGGTCATTGCTCCGAGAGGTACTGAGCTATCAAGCAACCTAAACTTTCGAACCCTGAGGGTCTAGGCTTATGTTTCCGGGGTTCAGGGCTTCATAGGGTTCGGAGTTTAGGGTTAGGCCTAATGTGCAGTGTCTACCACAGAAACCTAACGAAGAAGCTCTGGGTTGTGACTATTTATTTACAATGTCTCTTAATCTGGTTCTCCTTGTCTTGGGAACCTTCAACATTGCCCGCAACCGAGATCCTGAAGGTTAGCGCATCAGTCCCAGATCCCGGAACCTAAAACCCCTCAAGCCCGAAATCGCACATAGTCGGTTTTCAGTGGACCGTTGTTGCTTGAAGCCTTGCCTGCCTTGTGTGAGCGTGAGAGTCCAAAGCCCCAATCCGCCTTCACTGTGCATCGGCATGGCGCACTTTCCCATCTCCGTGCGCAGTGGCGCCTGGCTTCAAAGTTAGCTGTTTAATATTGATTCGGGGTTTCAATGACACTCATATATAGGACATGGGATTTTCGGGTTATGTCGGGTACTTGGCATTTGGCTCCCGACAAGTTTGCAGCGCAGGGGGGTGGCTTTTGGAGTGTCTATAGATTGGATGATCTGGGCTTTGAGCATTCAAGCACCTGGCGGTTGCTTCAGGTGTCATGGTGCCCACTTGCAGGGAAGGGTTTTTCTTTGGATCTCCCGTCTACTTGCCGGACAGGGCCAGATCGAAGATTTTTCAAGAGTGGGTAGGATTTCGGATTCCATCTTCCGTCGCTTGGCTACGACACTCCTGCATGCAGGATGGCAGCATCTCCTGCGCTAGCGAGGCCATAAACCAGAGACCCCGAATGTGCTGCAACCCAGTCTTGTAGCAATTTACCAGGACCGGCCCTTTGTGAAACAAGAGCTGCAATCGGCGGCCCTTCCGCAACAGCCATGACCCATGGCCCTGAAACCCTGAAGCAATGCCGCCTTCGCGAACACACAACGTACCCTTCTCCGAATTTATCGGAAATGCCGTAGACCCCGGAACTGGAACCTTGAGACCTTGAAACATAGACCACCGCACTCTTCTCAGAAGGGTTTCGGAAAGTAGAGGGTGGTATTGGAATAGAAGTTCTATGTGCCGTGTGTAGGTTTCTCGGATCTCCACAAGGGAGCCCTGCCTTTCCTTCCTTGAAAACATGTGGGACTTTGTATCAGACAAGATGGAGTTTGGGGCCGCCGGGGTTTTCGGCTTCGGTCTCCTGTTGGGATGTGAGGCTTGGGGTCGACACTGACATGTCAGCCCAAAGCTCGACAGGTCTTGTCTTGACGTGTAATGTAGGGGCCTAAAGAGTTACCTATACTATTTTTTTGGGGGGGGTTCCTTGTTATGATGATAGTATACTGGGCCCCAAAACCCTATTCTAAATATTAAGGCCCCTACATTAGGGCTTGACGGTTCGGGGCAGGTGTTACCGGCGAAGTCCTGGCAGAGCTGAACATCTCTGCAGGGGAGAGACTGCAGGCACTGTGGGGCGCGTGCAAGGTTGCAGGATGTCTGTTAAGCTCCGGTAAGGTTTATGGAAGTCGGAACCCTAAACCCTATAAACCCTAAACCCTAAACCCTAAACCCTAACTTGAGCCTTTAGCTGCAGGGTAGCGAGCACAAGTTTTCTTCAGGGAATAATGGCTTAAGGGCAGTGCATACAGGTTTGGTTCAGGCTCGGTGCAGGCATTTCTGGCTGAGTGCAGAAGCTTCTCTTCGGGGATTTCGGGTTGGGGCGCGACATGATCCTGAACAAGTATGATAGGGGGCGTTATACTTGTATAGGGCGTCAAGGTATATGAAACTATAAATAGAATACGGAACCCCCAGAAAACGTAATCATGTAGGCCCCTGTATTACGCTCGGCCCGCGGATGATGAAGCGCACGCCGGCCAGAACTCAACGCGTGAACCAATAGATTTGTCTGCCACGGCTGCACTATGTATGGCCTTCTTCGAAGCGTGGTGCCCGAAATCAACCACCAAGGCACCATCATAAATCTTGAATCTCTACCCATAGGCCCCATAGTAGTTCCTTTTTGAGGTTACCTTATAGGGTTCTATATATGAACCCCAAACAGGAACTACTTTAGGGTCTATGGGTAGAACCTACTTTGGGTCATGAGTGCACCTCGGCAGTGCGTTGCAACTTTGTTAGGTCTGTCGGTATGCAGAGTGTCGCTTTGGAATCGTTGGATTTCAGGCGCGAGTCACACACACCCAAAAGTACTGCATAACATACCAGGAACGTTGGGTCATGCCTCGATCTAAAACCCTTTGCCAATATGGGGCTTTGGCTTGGGATCTTCGGCTGGGTTGAGTTTCTCTGGGTTGAGTTGTTTTTGGTGACAGACACAGGACGTTGCAGAACAGCAGCTTGCATCCTTGACGCCCTTCCAGCTCCTTCACAGCCGCCGGCTTGCGTTTGAACCCCAGCCCCGCACACTGCAAAGCTCCTAGTATAGAACTCAGTTCCAGCCCGAATCAAAGGCGTGCTGACGCCTCTGGGACAGCCCGGTGGAGTCCATGTTCTCTAACATTCCATGCCAAATGCATCTGAATTTGGCAGTTTATGTGGTGGTTTTTAGACCCAACACTCGGCACTCCTCATAGGTGTCCCAATGGAGGCACTTTGTTATTCTTGGTGACTTCATGGATTCGGGCATAGAGTTTACCCTGAACCCTAAGTTTATTACACCTTGCATAAACCCCAATGGCCAAATGACTGGCAACCCGCGAAATCCACTTCATACCCGGGAAACCGATACCCAGTGAGAAGTAAGACACGTGGTCCGGAACCTGGAACACCTTCGGTTCCTCCGGCAGATCCCTAAGCCCGAAAAATAACCTTGTGGTCTAGTTTAGGGTGTATAGGGTTTTGGCCTCAATGACAAGCCTGCTGGCACCTCAAACCAGCAGACCCGCAGACAGGGCTCTCTATGCCATCGATGGTTATAGGTCCTTTGTGCATGATAACTTGTAACCTGTAGCCATGTAAGTATTATGTCAATATGATCCGCTTCTCAAAACCTCTCACGCACTCATGAAACCCTTTTTTCCTCTACCAAACCTCATAGCAAACCTTGTAGCACCGATCTAGCCTGTATCAAGCCAGAAAATAAAGTCCTTCTGAATATCTACAAAAAGCCTGCTGACAAAGTTTGCACCAAAATGGACCTACACCCGAAAGTGCCTAAATCCTGCAGCACTCCGGTGAACCTCCCCCCCAAAACCCGAAAGAAGGTATACGAAGCGCTTTCCTACAAACCCCGCGTGAACCCTAAACCCTAAACCCTAAACCCCGAACCCTAAACCCTAAACCCTAAACCCTAAACCCTAAACCCAAGCCCAACCCACCCAAGCCTGAGCCGAGGAGGCGTCAGATGCGCCTGGCGGACTGCCGAGAACCTCGGCCTTCGAGGAGGATGCGAGGTGCCCCGGTTTGGGGTTTAGGGGTTTCGGGTTTAGGGGTTAAGGGGTTTCGGGTTTAGGGTTTAGGGGTTTAGGGTTTAGGGTTTAGGGTTTAGGGTTGGGGGTTTGGGGTTGGGTTTTCGGGTTTCGGTTCTTGGGGGGGCGGTGAGGGGTTTCAATAAGATCCATGGGCTTTAGGGCTTGGGGTTTAGGTTCCTAGTTAGGGGTAGGGCTTTCAGGGTTTCCATATCGGAGTTGGGGGGATATCGGGATTTTGTGGGGTTTGCAAGTGTCTATGTAGGTATAATGGTTGAGGACTAAAACCTCCAGGATCTACATAGAGTTTAGGGGTTTCGGGTTGGAGGCCATGAGAGCTGAACCTCCCTGTGCTCAGACCTTCAGGCGATTGCACACGTCTTGATGGACAAAAAGGGTTGGAGGTCGAGGGTATCTTTTGGCGTTTACGAGAACTCGGGGGTGAGATGTCTGATCAGGGCTGATGGGGCTTTTTCGACACTGTGCATATAAGTTTTCGCTGTGAGAACTGCTTCGACGGGCTTCCCAAATTCAAGCCCGAAAACTGCTGTCGACTTGGTTGCAAGGGTCTGACGGAGTCTGGCAGCGGCGGAGTGATCACCGAAGCTTTTCGGAGGGTGTTGAAAACCGGCCTAGCCCTTAGATGAGAATCCTCAGCCTAGAGTGTATAGTGCACTACACTCAGAGCGAACGGCGGAGAAGAATGTTATGCTTTTGCTAAGCAGGAGCTGCAAGGAATCGGTTTTCCGTAAGTGCTTCGATCTCTTCCCAAACTTTGCTGCCTTGGGGTTAGTTACGCTTCAAAAATGGCCCGGACCAGCTGTAGGTTCTAAGCGGCCTAGGGCCGGCGGTGTTGTGCTGTGGAGATATGGTGTCGAGGGTTTAGGGGTCGCGGTTCAGGGTTGGGGCAGTTGAGGGGTTGCGGGATCTCATCGGTATCGTGGATGATGTGCATTTCGAGGCAGACGTTTCTGGCAACTTCTTCCATGGCTGTTTTTGATGATGACCTGCTTGGGCACCACACTTTGTCCTATTCAATTTCCAACAGTGTCATTAGTAGTTATGATAAGTGCTGACTGTGGCAGTTCGGTGGTTGTGACTTCGAAAAATGCCTATCCATTCCATGGCTCCTTGTGTCGCCCGTCTTGATTATCACGCTCAAGGCCTACAAGCTCGGTCGGCGCAGTCCAAACTTAACGAGTTCAAAAGAACCATAAGCCAAGAAACCCATAGGCCCCATAGTAGTTCCTTTTGGGGCTTACCTTATAGGATTCTATATATGAACCCCAAAAGGAAACTACTTTAGGGCCTCTGGGAAGCCACTGAAGGGTTTAACATGGGTTTGGCGGTTTCGGCGCCTTTCGGGTGAAGGGCTTGAGGCATCAGGGCTCAGGGGGGTGTCGGCTTTAGGTTTCGGGGTGTACTACCCTAGGCCCTTCAACCCTAAACCCTAAACCCTAGCCGTTGGATCAAGAAGGTGCAGCTGGTGCGACTTCCACAGCTCAAGGCCGGGTGGGTGAAATAACATAGGGGCCTCGGGAATAAATTGCGAATAGAAGAGGGGGCGGCTCCTTATTATAATTTGTGTATAATATGCATCAAAACCGTCTTCGAATTCATAAAGCCCCTGTATTAATTTAACATGCAAGGCTCTTTTGCTGCAGTGTTTCGGGTTGTTTAGGACTCGCATCTGTGTTAGGAACTGACAGCACTTTCGCTTCTCGCCGGAGCGCTTGACTTACACATGTCATGCACATTGAACAGGAGTTTAGAGCGACCTGCAGCAACTATCTGGTGTCTCCGAATACTTCGGCCTCCTAGTTATAATTCTAGCACGCAGGAAGCAAGCGTTTATGCTAGGTTTGTCCAAGTTTTCAGTTGTCTTGGTTGGGACGCTGCTTCGGGCATTCCGTTCCAAGTCTAGCTTCTATCTCTCTGCACGGTGGACAGCTGAGTGTATAAGGATTGGCTGAATTAGCTTGCCCCCCAACTATGACCAGCTCCGAAGTCGCAGTCATCAGACCTTCAACTTCACGGCTGCATGCCAGAAACTGTTTCGGTGGTTCCAAGCCTGTGAAGTGTGATGCCCTGGCTTCTGGTGGTTTAGGTGCCTTCTTTCGGGACTCATGGGATCTGGGTTTGTTTAGGTGCCTGAGATTAGTCACAGCTCAGGAATTGTCTTTTAACTTTAAGCCTTTAAGCGCTAGCCCGAGGGCCCTTTGTCAAGATTTCTTCAAAGGGCCCAGAACCTTGGGCCCCAAACCCTAAACCC